ATTCAGGTAGGTAGTCACCTAGGGTTCTAGTGAGAAGCCGTGACCAGTAGTTGAAGCAGGTCGGGTGTGAGGACAAATACTCGCCGAAGACATTGGTTAGGGATCGCGCTATGTCGTGAATTGGCAGAAGTTAGAATTCATGGACTGGCCATTGGATCGGGTCCCAGTGGCTTAATGGAATACGAGCTCGCCTTGTAACCAGAAGGTCCTTGGTTGGAATCCCGGTGGGTGTGTACTGATGAAGAGTCCCAAACCAGGACGAAACAGCCGTCTCTATCTAATGTCAGCTCATGATTAAATCCTGTAAAAGAAATCACCGTTTAAGTTGATGAATTGTAGGAAACCACGACTACCAATACACAGCATGACGAGGCTGTAAACAGAAAGAATCCATCAGAAATGTACAGCGTAAACAGAAGAAAGACGCCATGAAATCAGAACAGGAAGAAAAGATGAGATGCAGAAGCTTTGAAGCTGGTGATCAAGTGAAGTGTAGAGTCTTTCGTCTTCTACTGTTACACTTGGACTGTCTGTGGGGAGCATGATTTGTTCTGTTTGACTCTTTCAGAGAGAGACAGTTTCCATCCCATTTTGTTGAGAATATTCTTTCTGATTCTCAGATAACTTATAAAAGTGTATAGTTAATCTGTTTTGTTGCACTGTGTAGCATTCGGATGACAATGTTGAGGTATTTTTGTATTTTTGATATAAGTTATAAGTGATGTTAAAAGTAGTACTACAGATTCTACCAGTTAGATATTATTTTTTTTTTTGATTTACAGCTTGATTTCACACCGTATTTTCAGTACAAGTGTAGAATTTTCAGCATGGATATCGGTAGCCCAAATTCAGGCCGACCATAGATATCGGGTGTGCGCCGGCAGGGGATCGAACCCCGGACCATGTGCATGGTCGGCGAGAGTCCTAACCACTGTGCCACCGACGTAGATTCTGAGTGATACGCGGAAGTTAAGTAGACTATACAGAAGAACGCTTAGAGGGGCTCCTGTGTTCAGACTGAAGTACTTGAGTTTCTGTCGTTGCATTCATTTTTACCTCTCATAAATTATAGTACACGATTTAAGCAAATGGATACGTGTTTTTGCGTAAATGCTCATCAGGCTCACTACAAGTGACATAATAAAATATATTACTCATGGACATTGGGAACAATCTGGATCAATAGAAACAAATGTGATCACGTAAGATGCAAGTAAAATAATAATATCAATAAATTGTGAAACTGAGATTAAAACACGCATCCATAACAGTATGATAATGATAATAAAGTGAGCAGTATAATTAAAATTAAACTATTCGCAGTTATCCAGTGTCACTTGGAGAGTTAACTATTCTGTGTTGCTGTTGAAGGCCATGAGAGCCAGAGGGACTGAACAGACTTTTTCTGAATAAAGAGATTGTCTTGTGGTGAGAGCTGGCTGCTTGCGAAAGTTGGTAGACATTAATTGACGTCAATGTTTATGTCCCCAATATTGGTGGTGAGAAATTAGTGAGAACAAAGGCTTTGCGTAGGTGGATACAGTTAGCATATGGATGATCTGACACAGCCACAAAGAGATGCAAGGTTAACTTTCTGTGAGAAACAACCAATCGAAAGACTGTATTTTCTACTGACAATAATCTACAATAATGTACATTAAAATCTATAAATATGTGTTGATTTTCCTTAATAAACGATCTGTTGCCTGACCCTTGTCTTCTGTTGTTACAGTCTCACTTATGCTTAGCGATTGAAGGGTGGCACCTTGTAAAGAATTATGAAGGCGGAATTTTTATCAGTCGTGTGCTCTGTATCCATAATATTACATTATTATTGTTCCCTTGGGTTCTGAGTAGAAAATATGGCTTCTATTTACTGCCATCCTCTTCAGCTGGGTCAACGATTGCCCAAACTCTCTGTATTCATAAGGTGTGTGCCAATATGGAACTCGTGATTGACATTGCCTTATTCCTTCACCTAACCACATTGGATAATGCTCCATAAGGCGACGGCAGGCTTGCCAAGTTGTTCTATTTATGTAACTGTCTCCACAAGAACAGTTAAATTTGTAAATGCCCACTAAAATGGCCAGCTTAGGTAGCTTATCCTTCACCTGCATCGAAATTATACAATGAGTGGCGAATTTCAAACATTTTAAACCGCAAAGAATGTTTTAACTATTATATTTTGGAGTTTTCATGTCAGTAATTCAGTGTCCGCGTCTGCCTTGAACAGTCAAGTCATATAGTTTCTACTGCACTTTTTACAGGTATCTCTCTCTGTTCTTTTAGAGAATATCTGCCCCTACCTTGGTTTTTATCAAGAAATCAGGCCAACGGGCACGTATACTCCAGGATTGTATGGCCTACCTAAAGTGCACAAACCGGAGGTACCGTTAAGACCAATACTTGATATGCAAAATTCGCCCCACCGTGCTCTAGCTAGAGGGTTAGTAAATATTCTCAAACTTTTGCATGAGAGGATAGTGAAATATAGCGTCAAAGATGTATTTGAATTCGTAGACAAAATAAAAGATATTAATATCAAGGACGAAACCAAGATGTCTCTGGACATAACATCTTTATTCACAAATGTACCTCTAGTTAACTACATATGTGAACAAGTGGACAAGCAGTCGATAAACATTCGAATCAATATTGAGATCCTAAAAGAATTGATATTAAGATGTACCATGAATGTAAACTTCAAATTTGACAGCACGCTTTACAGGCAAGTGGACGGGGTGGCGATGGGCTCCCCATTGGGTCCCATTCTGGCTAATTTCTTTCTAAGTAAGCTAGAAAATGGACCTCTGAACAACCTTATCAGTAAGCTCTCATTTTATTGCCGATATATGGATGATACCTTCATTCTTTGTGATAATGGTTCTGATAGGAGTACAATAATTACTGAATTCAATGAAGTACATTCGGCTATGAAATTCACATGTGAAGAGGAATCCCAAGACAGAATTGCCTTCCTGGATGTCCTACTTACAAGAAAACCAGACGGTAGCATAAAAAGATGTTTGCATAGAAAAAGTACTTGGACGGGACAATATACACATTTTCACAGCTTCGTTCCTCCCCAGTGCAAAAGAAATTTAGTAAAGACCCTCAGCTACAGAGTTAGAGCTATATGCTGAGAAGAAGTAATTGAAGATAAGTTAAGCATTGTATATGATACTTCGATCGAAAATAGCTATCCCGATAAATTTACCAAGAAACACATGACAAAGAAAGTAGAAAAGGACAACTTAATATCCGTAAACAAGAAGCCACTCTATATACGACTACAATTCAAGGGCGATATACCTAGCGAAATAATTACGAAGAAATTAATAAAATCAGTTCAAAGAACTTTGAATTCTGGCGAACTACACGTATTATTCTCTACACGACCGATGGTGATTCCTCGTATGAAAGATGAAGTACCTAGATTAGTTAGCCACTTCAAATTGTATCTTCCAATTCAACGGCGCTTGTGGAGCGAGTTATACCGGCCGTTGCTCTAGGAACTTGATTTTTCGTGCTCACTCAGAAACATCTCCCAGTATGGCCAAGTAAAGGTATAGTAGAAACCATCAACAGTTCGATATTAGACCGCCTGGCCCAAACCGGCCACAAAGCCAGAATTGAAGAATCCTTTCTTATCATCTACCGGGTGCCAAATAAATTGCTGGAAACATCGAGGTACCGCAGAGCCTACCGCAATTCGCGTGAAACAACCAGTGCTTTATGTGCAAAAGAAGCAAGTTCAGACACTACTACTGCCTTGGCCAGCCTTCAGTGGCGACCATAAATTCATAAGTTTGTAATATTATCTTTCCTATTATTTCTGACATTCAGTTTATTGTTATGTTGATGCTATTGATATTATTGATTCGACGTTATTTAAACAACACTAATGTTGTTCATAACACTAATTCATTCATTCACTATAATGTAAATACTAGTGTAGAGCCTGATGATGAAGTTATCGAAAAGAGTATTCTTTGTTTAGTAACCATTCATTTTTTCTTCAAGAGTGTCGGTTGTGCAGATTTTTCTATCAAGAAACATGAGGGTACTTATGATATTTCGTGTGCATACTAGAGGAACAAACTACCTGAAATGAACATATTGGCCAACCCATTATTTCTTACGGAAAATACTCCGCTTAATACTGCCATCTTGCTTTCATATTTTCAAGACATCAAGAAATGATAAAGTATTGTCAGTCTGCAAATGAGCGATATCGAACGTTTTAACAAGGGTCTTGATATCGATTTTATTCCTAAACAAGATAAAAGTATCACCTATGCATCTACAGTAGAACAAGGGTTCATTGATTAGACGATTTTCTAATCTTACTATAAACATATCGGCTGGGAGATAATCCAAGGGGCAGCCCTCCACCTTAATATAACTTTTGTTATTAAACTAAAAATGCACATTCATTGTACAACGGAATAGCGGATCCTGTAGTATGCTACACTTACTTCCATTATTTCTTCTCATTTATAACGATTAGGAGATTCTTCTAAAATACATATATGTATATATATTTATCATTTTAGCTAACTAATGAATCAGCTCATTATAACCTTAACATAAATTATATCAAATCATTGAAAATCAATGCTATATATTTATTGATTAATTCTGTGGATATATCGATTGAATATATATATATATATATATATATATATATATATATGTATACACGTACTTATATACTTACATACATATATATGCATGTGTATTTATTGATTATTTTCTTCAAAATAGATTATTTTAAATTAATACACAACTCTTCCTTAATGCTGTGCATATAATAAATATTGTCAGCGCGTATTCTCATATATGTTTCTCCTACGAAAATTAAAAACAAATCAGGCTACTTCCCACTGCATAAAGGAATAATCAAATCAGGAAGAATTATCTTAAATTAATTCTGAATACGTCATCTTCTTTACCGACCATCTTGGTTATAATTACTTAGCATCACTATCATTATTATGGATAATACAAATGGATATGATCAATTATTGAACACATTGAATACAACAGTAAATTTGTGTTTACTAACAAAAATAAAATTATGCTCACTTTTCTTTTCTAGATTAATTATTTGTGTAATTTATTGCATCAAATGTCATCAGCTGAAATACATTATGCCTATAAATTATTCAATCATTTGTGTGAGTATACAATTGAATTACTGGTGAATAAATTAATTTCAAATCAAGCTGAATATATTCATCCTAATGAAGTGAATAAACAAATATTGAATTTTGTACAATTGAAACATTCAACAAATTGTGATTTATTATTTAATGAGGTAAGTATGATGCAGACATTGTTTGTAAACTACTATTTAGTTTTTGTAAATAAACGGTTTTCCAATTTTTAAATATTGCCATTAATAATATTAGAAGAAGACGTAGAAGCGAACAGTATTGCTGTTTTCAATTAGATCTTCTTCAGACTTTACTCTAATTTACATAGATTTATGTAGTTTTAAGAGTTTGACCATGGATTGATATCAGTTAGAGAAGCATTGAAAACCAATCACGGAGTACTGGATAGTGAGCTGTTTCATCCTAGTTTGGGAATCATCGTCAGTACGCACCCACGCCATGGGGTTCTAACGCAGGACCTACAGAGCTCAGTTTCCTGGAGTTCTAGTGAGAATTCGTGACCAGTGAGGTCCATCCAGTCGAGTGTGAGGATGAATGTCCCACCGATGATATTGGTCGGTGGTCGTGCTAAATCACGAATTGGCAGAAGTTAAAGTACATGGGCTGGTCGTTGAATCGAGTCCCGGTGGCTGAATTGTATATAGGAGGTTGTTGGTTTCGAACCCCACGGCATGGATGTGTACTGCAGTTGACTCCCGAACTTGGATGAAACAGGTCACTGTTCAGTACTCCCTGTTTTTCAATGGTTCTCTAACTGATATCAATCCGTGGGTAAACTTGTAAAACCAAATTTAATCCTTATAAACCAACTCTTGAACATAGATTTATGTATAAAGATTTTGAACAATAACGTGGTAAATGTTTTCAACGTCAGTAATAACGTTGATTATATCGATGACAAAATAATGATAATTAGGTTTATGCAGGTGTCAATAAGAATAATGAAGGTAGTAATATGTGTGTGTTTATGTAGACAATTCAATAAATAAAAAAATTAGGTCAAATCTATAAAGTTAGGCAATACTAAAGCTGAAGTAGACAGATAATCAGAGTTCGAATAAATACCATAAAAGTACAAAGGAAATGGAATATATGAAAATGTGGGAGGGTTTTTAATTAGACTTTACACAGGCCAAAGGAGAGACAAAGGCAGAAAAAACTTCCTTTCTATGCAAAAGACTAGGGTTGTTCTCTCGAGTTAATTTACATAACTTCGGTTATGTGTAAAAGGCGGGCTCAACTTCCATTCCAATGTTTCAATAGAATATGATAGATAACTTTACCTCTTCTGTCTACCTGGTGACCACTGTCAGCAATCAAATGATTCAAAATATAAATTCTTATAGATTTCATTTAGCCTTTTCCGAACCATGAGGGAAGATGCTGATTAATACGTTTGTTGAGCTGCCCAGTTGTTCGCCCTATGTATAGCTTTCACCCCAGGAGTAGTCAAATTTTTAGATACACATAGAAGTGGCACAGCTAGGTAGCTTGTCTCTCGCTTTAGTAATCATAATGGATTAGCTGGAAAATGACAAACAATGGGTGGCTGCAGTATAAGTCCGTTTTATCGCTCTCGATAATCTCAGATGTAAGACTTCACTAGCCACGTCCCCATTAAATTGCAAAAGGGTTTGAAGGATTAACTTTATTTTTGAAATACCATTTCTATTTCAATGTGAATATCGACTTGAAAGTTTTAGAGAAATAAGGTGAAAACATTCATTCAGCAGCTTAGACCATACTGAGTCTAGATCACTTTTTTGCCATTATTATTTATTCTCGGTGTTCAGAGTGGAATATAGAGAATGCGACTCTATACTACTGATTGACTGAGATAAGTAGGTGTATGTAACTCAATATCAGCTAGTAGTGTCCGTTGGTCATATGGAGGTGAGATCTAAACACCGGATGGCAGTTTCTATGGTTCCAGAGGATCTTTTGGTCCTTCTAGGATGATGCCACTTTAGATTTAGTGTTCATGGGCAGTCTTATGGTTGTTAGTGGTATTTCTAGACGAGTTCTGTGTAATGGTGGATTCAAGAGTCTTTTGGATTTAATGGCCCGGCATTTACTTTGTTTCTCCTCTTCGGTAGTTTTACTGGTTTTTAGCTGTGTTGATCTCTTCCCACATAGAGACCTAGTTATCTGATGCATAATCTTCTCAGGTCTGTCTTACCTTCGGCCTGTTCTGTCTCACTTGCCAGGGTGTTATAGAATTGTCTTTTGCCTTTCCTAGCAATTGTCTTCACTCCTTTTTTCACAGCGTTATAGATTGATTATTGTTCACCTGTTTTACCATCTCTTTTTTTCACTATTAGCTTTCACGTGTCCATTCAGAACTATTCCTTGTCTTCCTTCCTCATTTAGAGAGTTCCTCCACATAGTTTTCCTCAGGGATATTTTTGACCTTGCTGTGATGGCTGTACAGAAGATTCCCTTTTATAGTTTCTTCCTTCAATTTTCGTGTGTTGAACTTTAACTGGTGTGTATCTCCAGTTGTTTTGAAGGCCTTCAAATTAACCTTGGATGGTTCTTCACCTAAATTTGCTCCTCTTCTCCATTTTGTGTCCATTAGACTGAGTATCCCTCTCTGAAATGAAGTCTGCCATGATTTGTGACGTATCTCTCTGATGAAACCGATATCGTATTGTATGTTTGCCTATACTTCTACACGCTGCATCCAATCACTAAATCATTGGAGGCTTTGAAGTCTGAGAAGACTTAGTTAGAAGATATTAGACAAGTTTTACCGTTAAACATCCGCGTAAATGCCGTTTGGACAATAAAGTGTAGGGAAGAAGCTACATCAAGGTATCGCTGTCTATAACTGTCTCCCAGTGACTATTTACTTTTGGTAATGGATAAGAAATAATTCATTTACATAACACGCCACCCCTACCATCTTTGTATGTCGTCTTGACACCAGTGGTTCTCTAGCTGATATCAGCTCGTGATGAAATCCTCCAACCAATCAGACAAAATCCCTACAAAACCCGGTAAGTGAAAATTAATCTGATGCTCACTAGCGGCTAGTTTTATTCAGGCAGTTACCTTGGGTTTTAGTGGGAAGCCGTGACCAGAAGAGTACTGCAGGTTAAAGATGAGGCAGTAACTCATCGAAGAAGACAATGCGAAATGATCACGCTATGTCGTGAATTTGCAGAGGATGGGATTCATGGGTTGGCCATTTGATGGTGATCCAGTGGCTTAATGGTCCACGAGCTCGCTCGCCTTGTAACCAGTAGGTCATGGGAGTTAAACCCCACAGTGTAGGTGGGAAATGATGAGGAGTCCCAGACTAGGACGAAACGTCTGTTCAGTACTCCAGTTTTGGTTTACCAATGGTTCTGTAACTGATGTCAGCTCATTATGAAATATTCCATCCAGTCAAACAAAAATGAACAGTCTACAAATGCAAGCACCATTACTAACAAATGCTATTAGTAAGAAATAGGATGCTGTACAATATTTGATCAGGCCTTTCTGTTGATTAGGCTGACGTATATTGGAATATATATATATATATATATATATTGTGGGACAGACATATACTAAATTCCAGCCAATGATATCAGAAAGATGGAAAGATAGACATTTCAGAGATGACCAATAGGATAATGAGAATTCCAAATAATAATTATTACCATTATTATCATTATTATTATTCCTTTGGGTTCTGAATGAAAGGCAGGGTTTCATCAGAACACCTCTATTTCACTTTGATCTCTCCAGTCCATTTTAGCTGAATACATGACCGTTCACAAGATTACATTTCTTCAACACACGATTTCCTCTGTGTGACTCTTCGACGCTCAATTCTCCGCTTCCTGTTTGGGTTCCAATCGAAGGTCTGATTTTGTGATGTCGTTTAGAGGTCTTTTCAATGTAAACCTATTCCACTTCAGTATTCTTTCGACAGTAGACTGTTGGTTGATTGTGTACCAGTCAAAGTTCTTTATGGTTGCTCATCCTCTGAGAGCGGCCATCCAACTTTCAGTATAGAGGATATGTAGAGTAGGCTTTGGAAACTCACTTATTTTTCAACAAACTGTTCTCTTCCATTCTACTAATAACTTTGAGATAAAGATTAATGTGTATGGAATTAACAATTCAAGCTATTTTCCTTAATCTACCTTTTTCCTATTGTGCATAATACGATACACAAATCATGGCTGATGGCTCCACCTAATTTGAAAGTCAGTCACAGTATGAAACCAACGATTTAATAATAATAATAACAATAATAACTTACTTTATTCCAAAAACAGTACTTATAGCACAGAATGGAATTCTCAGTATTTGTCACAATATTGCATCTGATTTACTCAAAATATATATAAAATTAAAACAAAATTAATCGGAGGAATTTGTCCACATTTACGACATACTTATTAGATATAATAATAATAATAATAGTAATAATAATAACAGTGAGTTTGTTTCAAACGGTATTGTCGATTCAGTTTGGAAACTTTAGCATCTTATAGATTATTGGGTCTAATGTTCTGTTGATATAGTATGGTGCGGGGAAATGCAAAATTAACAGTTATAATACAGCTTAAATTATGTCTACACTTATGAAAAAAAAATAAACAAAACGAAAAAATTGAGAGGATTATAAATATAAGAAATGCAATAACAATAAAGTATGATGCTTTAAGGTTGAAAGAAATGGTTTATTTAGTAGTGCAAAGAAGGTTAGTTAGTTCATGCCTAACACTATTTTCATCACATAAAGTACGTGCCAAATATGGTATAGTGGAATTTTTATACTTATACGTACGTGCCTAAAGTCTTCTGAAAAGACTGCTTGTTTTACCTGAGGAGAAACAAGGTTGGAGCTGCTGGTAGAATGGGTGCTCAGAGTTTGACAAAATTCCTCTAGCGAATTTGTTGCATGACATCAAATGCCTATCGGTGACAATGCCAACGATATGGCCCAATGGGATACCACTCGTCCTACTGACAGTCTTCAGAGTTCTACGAAGGATGACATAGTCCTTTTTAAGCAATCCAGGAAAGAATAAGGGTGAACAGTAAAGAAGAATGGGTAAAATACACGAGTTGATAAACTGTAAGAGGAGTGGTTGAGTTATGCCTGAGTGCCTTAACTTCTTAATGTAAAAAGTCAAACGAAATATTCTTCTAGAAATCGCTAAGACATGACAAGACCAGGATAGGTCAGAAGAGAGAACTAATCCAAGATACTCAACTGCAGACTTGGTTTCTATATCAATATCATCGATTTTGCAAGGGTCATAGGAACCAACGGCTTCATTTAACTTTCGTTTACATCAGAAAATGAAATTAACAGTCTGACATTTGGAAGGATTAAGTTTAAGGCCGTTAGACGAAGACCATTTACTAATTTCCGATAGAAAGTTGTTTATCTTAGTGCAGTCAAGCTGAGAGTTAACAGACATTGAAATAATTAGATCATCAGCATACTTAACAAAGTTCATTTCATCAGAGTGAGGCAAGTCATGCAAGAGGAAAGAAAACGGAAAAGGAGAAAGGACAGCGCCTTGAGGGACATCAGCCTCAGTAAGCAGTGAAGTGGACGACTTTCTCTGACACACAGTGTATTGCTTTCTTCCTGAGAAATAAGAATGCAGTCATTTGACAACCCAACAGTCAGTTTGAGTTTCAGCAAGCTTGTTTTGTGAAATGTCCCTAGGTACTGAGTCGAAAGCAGATGTATAATCTAGAAAGGTGCAGCAAACAAATTTAGCCCCCTTGTCTAAGCTGGAGACAATGTTATGATACAAGACTGCAGCTGCGTCTAAAGTACTTCTACTCTGTCTGTAGGCGAATTGTTTGGGATCGTTAAAGGCTTTAAGTGAAGGTTGAAAATTAAGTAAGAGCAACTTTTCCATAGCTTTTAGAAAAGGGGAAGTAATAGCAATGGGTCTACTTCAATAACAGGAGTTTCAAGTTGGATCATGAACCAGACCAAGTCATATAACCATTAAAAACTACTGAATATACAGGACAGTTGTCTCGTACTCGTTTGTGGTTCTTCGGTGATACATCCACATGACTCAAGCATTTCCAGTTATGCGATATGAGACCATGAACTATGTGGATTTATGACCTGATTTGAAAAACAAGTTTGTTCTGCATATTTTTGTTGTGATTTGAAGTTTCTGTAGCCATCTGATTTATTTTCAGAGGGTAGAGTTGTTAGTTCACGCCGGAATTTACCGGGCTTAGGATCGACTAGGAAACTGTTAAACTAACTGATGATTGTTTTAATTATGGTGGACTGGATTAAGTGGCAGACCAAGGGGAGCAGAAAGACTGGAATACATAAGAATGCCAAAGAAGATCATGAGTTAACGAACATTTTATGTCTAATGTCACATAAACTCGATTTAGTGTAAATACATAGAAGATAGAGGTGATGAATATACCCATCGACCAATCAATATCATTGGGGGGAAATTTGAAAGAGGTTACGTCTTTCCCTTATCTTGACAACATCGTTTCAACTACGGCTGACTCCATGGATTAGAATACGAAAACTAGAATCGGAAAGCCAAGACAGACCTTCGTCATCCTGAAACCCCTATGAAAATCTTCTGCACTCAATATGAAGAAGAATTTTTTCGGATTTTCAACACCGATATAAAGTCATTCATTTCTTCAATATGTGTCAGAAACTCAGTGCATCAAAAGGACAATTTCCAACAGTTTGCAGACTCTGACCACAACTGTCTTCTGTTGCTTCATAGTGAAGGTATTATTAATATTCCCTTGGGTTCCAAGTGGAACAAAGGGCTGGCTTCAACAACATAACTCCGCTCTCTTCTATTTTCTACCGTCCTCTTCATCCAGCTAGCTCCACATTCCCCTACAATCTCTCATCTCCTCCTCGTATTCCACGATCTCCTCCATGTCACCCTTGTACAGACAACCCACTCGTCGCTTCCTATTTGGATTCCGCTGGAGCAATGATCTCCATTGTGAGCAATGTCATTCGACGGTCTCCTCATTGTCGTATGTCGGATCCATCTCCATTTTCTCGTACATATTTGTTGGGCAATCGTTTGTCGCTTGTTGTTTTGTTCCCAGCCAGAGCTTCTTGTTGCTAATTCTTTCTGGTTTGCAAGCCGGAGATTTGATCTTCACTATGGAGTCAGCAAATCCAGTTTTTGATAAAATTCTGTAACTTGTTGGAATTAATTTTTGTGACACATCAGCCAAGTTTCTGAACCATTTGGAAGAACTGACTGACTGACTTCACACTGGTATTAAAAATTCGAATTTCGTTCTTTATGCTGGCTGAGTGAGCATAAGGCGTATCTCGCCTTTCCGATTCCGGCTGGCTGGCTGGTTTTGAAATCTTTATCCGTTCCAACTGCCTGTGGTTGAAAATGTGCTTCCGGCGAGCAAAGTGAAGCCGGGAAGTAACTTCTTTCAAATCTGTCCCATTGATGGTGATCGGTGTTGGTTGTTGTTCATGTTGTTGCTGCTGTTGGTCGGTTATCGTCATCGCCTCCGTCTTCTCTGTTCTCATTTGGAGTCCTGCCTTTTGCTGCCACCTTCTTCAACCAGTTTGTTGGTTTTCGCTTGCCTGTAAGTCTTCGAGTTTGTGCGACATGAGACATAAATCATCCACACGTGAAATCCAGATTTTTTAGAGTCTTCTTATCGTTGGTCCAGCATACTCCTGTCTCCTCGCTCCCAACGCACAGTTTGATGCACAATCCAGTCCACCACACTTATTAATATCATTGGTTACAATAGACATTCAGCTTTTCTTACTCCTGAACTCGCTTCGAACGCTTCGCTGAGATTTCAATTGTTGATCATCTGACACGTGGCAGTGTCATCTAGCCAACTGTTGATCGACGTTGATAAAGACTTGAAGATCAAATGGTCAGCCAGAAATAATAAGTAACCAGAAACTCTAGGAACCAACCAACAAACTAAAAACCTTTTGATCAACAAATATGCATAAGGAAATGAAAATTAATTGGACATACACTGAGGAGACCGTCAGGTGATACTGCGTGCCAGACTATACCTCCAGTAGAACCTTAATTCGAAATGATGAGTTGGGTGAGAGTCTCACCGTGACACAAAGGAGATCATGTGAAGACAGGATGGGAGATTAACAGCATTCTTGATTCCAGTTAAAGAGGACTTCAAAGAACATAGTGAAACGGAGATGTACTTCTGAAGCGCTATTTCCTTCACTCGTAACCTATGAGAATAATATTAATATATTAAAATATTATGACTTTAAAAGAAATCAAATCGCCGTAACTCTGAAATTCAAAACTCAATTTCTTCTTTCTTCCTTTCTTTCTTTCTTGCTCACTTAGACAAAGCTGACAAATACCAATACGAATGAGTATAACTTGAACCATCAATTCGAAGAAATGATTTGCAACCAAACTGATAGAACAGATTCTTCCAATTGTAATCCAATTGATTTAAGTCAAAAGGTTCACTCACCCAATCACCTTGATATGTCTAAAAAATCAATCAACAAGTAAGTAAAGTGATGTTTGATAGGGAATTCTTATCAGATTAAATTATTGAGAAGATGAATAATGGGCATTTCTTTGAGACAGACACAGTACTGCTGCCCATCATACAGCTATTTTGAAAACTAGGGTGCGAATTTACCTAGTGTAATATATATTATGATATTTGCAATTAATAGTGTTCTCTGAGCTGGTTGGTTTAGTTGCGGAGCTTTCGTCGTCCCCCTGCTGGACAACATCTCCTTTCAGCGCAATATTTAGCATAAAGTGAAATGATTTAAATTTCTTCATGAGTGATATAATTGCGTCTCCTGGTAACCATCTTTACACATGTATTAACCATTTTCTATTGACTTGGATTTTAAACTTTCTGGTCACCTGATTTACTTTTTATTAGTTGGTATATTTCGTCTATATTAATGTGTTTGTTAATTGCATTTTCGTTTGAGTACGAGGCTTCTAGGAATTCCCTGATTGCATTTTTGGTGTTTCCTCTATCTAAGATTTTGACATTATCCCAATCAAATTGATGTCCATAATTGTCTAGGACGAAACAGCTGTTCAGTACTCCCAGGTTTTCCAATGGTTCTCTAACCAATGTCAGCTCATGATGAAATCCTGTAACCTATCAACCAAATCCCTACAAACCAATGCTTGAATTGTCTATATGCATTGATACTAGAGAATATATATCGTGTCTTTTCACGGCTGATTTGTGTTCTTGGATTCTAATTCGAAGGGGACGCCCACTTTGGCCGATATAATGCCTGTTACAGTTCATACAATTTATTTTGTAAATGGTAATAATTTTATCTCCTTTTTCTGTTGAATCTTTCGGTTTGCATAGTGTCGAATTAAGCGATTAAGAAAATTCATGCTACCACACATGAGAAATATCTCTGAATTAACAGCTAGAATACTGAAACCGTTTGATTTAGATACAGCACAGAAGCTAGTCAAATCGCTTAATTCGACACTATGCAAACCGAAAGATTCAGCAGAAAAAGGAGATAAAATTATTACCATTTACAAAATAAATTGTATGAACTGTAACAGGCATTATATCGGCCAAAGTGGGCGTCCCCTTCGAATTAGAATCCAAGAACACAAATCAGCCGTGAAAAGACACGATATATATTCTCTAGTATCAATGCATATAGACAATTCAAGCATTGGTTTGTAGGGATTTGGTTGATAGGTTACAGGATTTCATCATGAGCTGACATTGGTTAGAGAACCATTGGAAAACCTGGGAGTACTGAACAGCTGTTTCGTCCTAGACAATTATGGACATCAATTTGATTGGGATAATGTCAAAATCTTAGATAGAGGAAACACCAAAAATGCAATCAGGGAATTCCTAGAAGCCTCGTACTCAAACGAAAATGCAATTAACAAACACATTAATATAGACGAAATATACCAACTAATAAAAAGTAAATCAGGTGACCAGAAAGTTTAAAATCCAAGTCAATAGAAAATGGTTAATACATGTGTAAAGATGGTTACCAGGAGACGCAATTATATCACTCATGAAGAAATTTAAATCATTTCACTTTATGCTAAATATTGCGCTGAAAGGAGATGTTGTCCAGCAGGGGGACGACGAAAGCTCCGCAACTAAACCAACCAGCTCAGAGAACACTATTGATTGCAAATCATCCACCTGAGCTACAAATCTTCTCTAATATATTATGATAATAATTATTAATCCTCTTGGTTCCAAGTGGAACATAAGGCTTCATCAGTGCATCTCCATTTCGTCCGGTTCTCTGCAGTCCGCCTTGTCTGTCTTCATGATTACCCATAATCTCCCATCTTCTCTTCGCACGATTTCCTTCATATCACTTTCCGACCAACGCCCAACTCGACGTCTCCCATTCGAGTTCCACTCGAGCGGTGGGCTGGCATACGGTATACTCCGACAGTCTCTTCAGCACTAAACACTGTGATCATTAAGATCTGTGATAACTTACTTGTGTAGGAGTGTTCTTGAAGCGTTTCACTTAACAAGTCTTGCTAGTCTGTAATTCCATATTAGATAAGTTTATTTAAAATATTTTATTGAGTGATGCAGTATTAACAGCTAGATGACAAGGTTTCGAGCGTAATAATCATATCAATTTTAGTCACACGCTTTCACAATTTGTCTTTAATATGTTTTCTCTCTACTCTGTCTATCCAACTTCCATTTGTTGTTTGTTACCACTTTCGATATCTCCGGCGTATGTGTTGCGTCATTCCAATTGCTGCACGTGGGCGATGTTGAATCGATAAATAAAGACTCAGTCGGTGATTAACCTCTCTGTCTCTCCATCTAACTATATAACTTTTTAATGCTCTTACTCTGTCCTGCTCCTCCTACTGTGTGATCACATGCAAGTGAAAGCAGTGCAATGGCTAAGCTTTCTTCTAGGGTATTTAACTTAGCAGGGTCAATTATTCTAGGTCTAGCTAAATCCCAATCTCCCCATAATCTAGTTGACCCTGACCTATTAGTCTGATGACCTATGCAATTGACCTTACTGACAGTCATTACATGGTATTAGTAGTTATATCTGAGCGGCAGGTTTCGTTTGAGAATAAAAAAAATGGGAGATGTACCAGAATAATATCAGCTCATCGTTTATTATTTCGAGGAATCTTCTCAACCGGCTACAACGGTGAACAATACAACCGAAATATAAATTACATTAAAGATTTGAACATACCCTTTTTTACTATGACAAGGAGTAATTGGTATAAACTAAGAGTAACATCACTTCGAGATGATGTACATCATTAAATTATAAATTGTTGTTATATTTTCAAGTGATGAAACAGCTATTTATGTATATATGGTTTTATATTCTCTAAACAATCACTGAGCGTGTGATTTTGGTTTACATTAAACGACGTGAAATAGACTGTTCGAATAGATATATCATACGCTATTGCTAATGCAGTATTGAACTGTAAGAATATGTGAGAATAATATTCCGTTGGAACACATTGTTTGTATCACACCACCGCACTCGTCCGCTCATCAAATATTTTCCACTGAAGGTAGTCTGATCTTCTTGGTGCTGGTGTCTTTGTTCGCCTGTCTTGCTGTATCCAGTTCTGGAGCTTGCTGACGTTCACCCGCTTCTCTTCTTTTGCATTTCTGATCGTATACGCATGACCAGGTCTCACGGTGACCATGTATGGTCCTTCCCACTTTGGAAGCAGTTTGCGTGAACCTGGCGGTGTTTAGCTCCACACTATCATATCCTGCCCTCGCTCAACCTCTCAGCAGTGTTTCAAGTAAAATCCTCCTCGCTGACGGATCCTGAACGTCATTCAACTCCGACACAACCTCGAAGTCCTGCCCGAAGATCCATATATCTCATTCTTCTAAAACTGCAGGACATAGGCTTTCTATTTATCGGTAGGCAGTGACACCAAATGTAACAGCAGAAGGCAAGACATAGAAGCCAAGGTATATTTTCTACTGATCAAACCAATATATATATATATATATACAAATTTAGTATTCTGTTGCTAATGCAGTATTGAACTGTAGGAATATGTGAGAATAATATTCCGTTGGAACACAGTGTCTGTATCCCACCACCACAATACAACCTCTACCATCACGGTGCTCATTCTCAACTTATATTGTTTGAGTTCACAATTCCTAATTATTTCTAATTACAAATCCTCAAATTCAGTATACTATTAAATAAATCTCTTTCAGGTGTTCTATTAATCGGGGTGATTTACTTCAGAAAAATCACCACACATCTGAAACGATGAATAACAGTGTAAGTTAATTGTTTCGAGCCAATGTAATTATTGAATTCTAATAAATTTATTATTTATTTTTGAAAAAAACACTGTCTAGAGTCATTTCAATTATTCCTTGTCTTTCGAGTGGAATAATCTCGTTGACTTAGAATATACAGATGATATAGTCCTCCCTCCTAGGTGAGGACGTTGACAAAATCTAGTATAGTCATCCGAACACCTTGAGTTGCATTCTGCAAATGTTTGGCATATGATTCGCTCCCACCAAATATAAGAAGATTGGACTGGCCTATATTGACTCACTCCAAGCTTAGAATTAGGGAGTGAAGTGGTGGCCAAGCGTGTTGACCTCTTCAATTATTTGGGAAGTTGCATCAACCAACGCCAGCCAGCTGATCGCTGAAGAAATCTCAGTACGGAGACAGACGGCTCATTTGGCATATGCTCGCCAACTGACGTCATCCCTTGCTTAGTAGATGTGATTTACGGCTGGGTGTCAACCAAAGGGCGTGTATACTGCACTGCAGCAGTCCGCTCCGTCATACTTTATCGCTGTGAGTGAGACATGGCCATTGAGAGTAGAAGACGTGAAAAGCCTGGCTAGCTGTCTTTGGCCAAAGATGTCTGCATCCGATTTCCAATATTAAGTGGTTTAATAAGGTGAGCAATATTGAGGTTAGGCATACGTTGAGTGCTAGGTAAAGAGGGGAAATCAATCTACAAGGCTGTGAAGTTACATCGATTGAGATGGTTAGGACATGTGTTACGCGTGCATGTCTAGCCATTGCCTTCCTTCACGGGCCATATCAACTGACTTAGGGTAAGGTTGGAAGAGAGCTAGCGGCGGTCAAACCAAAGCATGGCTTCATCAGTCAATGAAATCCACAACAGTTAGTTTAAGCCACGTAGGAAGATGTAAACTTCCTGGTTGGGGTCCTTGAGACGGTAAAAACCAATGAAGGCTGGAGACAATTGGTGATATGGCTCAAAATCCTCGTTCTCAATGGCTGGCGTAGATACATTCACTCCTTGTGACTTATAATTTCTATATTACTATTCTTTTTGCCTCATATGTCTGTTTACTCTTTCCGTTTTACATATTTCTTTTACTTTCTTCTCTTGATTTGTTTGCTAAGTGAAGTGTGGCGACTCGAACTTTTGCACATCTGTGCAAAGTTCTACGTTGAGACCAGTCAGTCAGTGGAAGTGTACTTCAGTCTCTGAAAGTTATTTCAGCTGGGTATTTCAAAACTAATCACGTACGTGACATAACCAGTTTGTATACTAATATTCCAAGTTAGATAGCTCTGAAGGCAGTTCGGAATGAACTGAGCACTGATCCTGAACACGAAAGTAGGACTAAGCTCTCGTTCAATGAAATAACATTAGGTGTTCAGTTATGTCTATCCTCCGGTGTATTCAAATTTCAAAACAAATTATCTAAATAAACAAATGGGGTGTCAATGGGATCGCCAATATTCCCAGTAGTTGCAGGCATATTTATGGACAGTCAGGAACATTAGGCTCTTTTAGAACGTTTAATCCTACTGCTAGGTTATGGAGGAAATATGTGGATGACACATTCCATCACTGTGTTGAAATTTGAACATATCCCTAAGCTTGTTACATATATAAACTCAGTAGTAGGCGGAATCCAATTCATTTCTGAGTTAGAAAACTAACTTAATGAGTTAGCCTTGCTAGATTGTAGAATAAAACGAAAACAGATTAGTGGGTTAGATAACAGCTGGCATTTATAGGAAACCGATACACTCTAATAAATACTTAAACTTTAATTCATCCCATCCACAGTCAGTAAAGATAGGTTTAGTTAAATGTAATTCCATATTAGATGTACCACACAGTAAGTGAAACAGTATTATTTACTGGATGCCGTTTTGGAATAAAATTTACTGTTCATAATCATATCAATTGTAATCATACGACTTCGAAACCTGAGTTTTATATTTTTGATTGCATGGAGGATTTCATCATGAGCTGACATCAGTTAGAGAACCACTGGAAAACCAGCTGGGAGTACTGGACAGCTGTTTCGTCCTCGTTTGGGACTCTTCAGCAGTACGTGCCCACCGGGATTCGAACCCAGGACCTTCTGGTTACGAGGTTTTCTCCTATTTGTCGTAGGGGCAGTAGAATTTTCCAGATATCGGGGACAGGTGTTGAATCATTCCTACTACATGTATTTGCAGTTGATTCGATAAACAAAGCTTCTGTTATCAATCTCTCCCTCCATCCTGTGACATTAGATTTCAAAACTATCATCCTATCCCATCCTATTGTATGGTTGTGTGTAATTGCGTGTAGTGTTATAACTGAACTATTCTCTAGATTTCTTATCTTATTCGGGTCAACCAATCTAGATTTTGCTAGGTTTTTATGTTCAGCTAGTCTGACTGCCCCTGTCCTACTAGTTTGACCTATGTGTTTGACCTGACAATCATTGCAGGGTATTAGATAAACTAAATTATTTTGTTTTAAAGGCTCCATAGGCGGGATGCTTTAACCGACAAAGCTTGTTTCTAATTGAGTTTGTGGGTAGTTGAATGCCGTTTTTATTCCTGCCTTGTTAAGAATTCTGCGTAAGGTTGTTTTCGAGTTTCCTTTCTTGTATGGAATTATTACTGATGATTTAGACTCCTTATTATTGGTGTCGTCATTAATATTATTATTATTATCACTATCGCTACTACCATTATTTATTTTATTTCTACATTTCCTTACATATTTCCTGATTAATTTATCCGGGTAATTATTAAGTTAAGACTTATTAATTCTACTACCCCCACGGCAAATAGGAGAAAAGAAAGAAGACTATAACACTCAAGTTTCAAAGTCGTGTGATTACAATTGATATGATTATGAACAATAAATTTTGTTCGAAACTGTGTCATCCAGTAAATAATACTGTTCCACTGTGTGAAACATCTAATAAACAAACTAATATGGAATTACTTACTACCACAGTGCCCAAGTTTTACACTTATATTAGTTAAATGTCTTTATAATCGGGCCAAGGACCAAACTCGTAAGCCAGAAGATATAAATAAGTCAAAAACATATGAAGGACCACAGAAAAACCAGTATTACTAATAAAAATATTGAAACTGATATAGAATTCAAAACCTCTGTAGTACCACGGCGTTTAAAGAAGGAACGTCAGAGGCTTCATGTGGGATTCGCGATAAGGCTGGAATTAGACGGGGTGGCATTAAAACCAGTCAAACAACTCTCTCAGTGATAAACTTTGTTGGTTTAAGGACCCAATAGATCCAATTAAGAAAAATAATATAATTTACCAAATAAAACGTAAAGGCTGTCAGTGAGGTCAGTTAAATAAGTCAATGGAAATAGTAGATAGGGATCAACTGGATTTATGAAAAGATGAAAATTTAGCTAAACCTAGAATAATTGGCCCTGCTAAGTTATATAACTTAGAAAAAACAGAGCTGAGCTATTTCACTGCATTCATTTGCATGTAATCGCACAACGATAGGGTGGGTGGGACAGGGTGAGAGTATTAAAAGTAATATGGTTAAATAGGGAGAGGGACAGGTTAATCACTGAATACCTTTCGTTAGTTTCATGACTACTCACAAGTTTTCATTTCCCCCCCCCCGCCGTTTCACATGTCACATTCCACTATCCAAAATGTCAATTTCCATTCGAACTCCTACTTTACTAATGGCGTCGTTTAACAAAAGTCTTGTCAGAGCATGTCAAAACCCTGTCACTTTTCTTCTCTATATCTGCTGGGTGATTGTGGAACATTTCAGCATAGTACCTTCATAAGTATCATTACCATTATTTGTACAGAGATAACTGTCGTGAATCATGCGGTTTGTTGGATAAAGCTTTGACTCACGAAATTTTTTTTCCTTCACGTTCCCTAGTGGAACATAGGGCTTCAACGTAGTGGCTTAAAGTTGCTGTAGCACTGCTTATTTTACAGGATGGGGTTGCCAGCCTCATGCCCAACCTTTCCTCTTCACCAGCATTATTTCTGGCTTAGCGAGGTAAAGGAGTGCATCGGTTGGGGATCGAACCCCGGATCATGTGCATGGTCGGCGAGCGTCCTAACCGCTATGCCACCGACGCAATGACTCACGAAAAATACCCATTTATTCATGATTAAAAACAGAGTTTTTGTTCAGCGAAGAAATTTCTTTTCAACGACTTCATTTTCAAGCTGCACAGTCGTATTTATATTACAGAAAAGGTTATTAAGTGTCACTAAATAATTGCTCAGTCAATATACATATATATGTGATAAGAATAACGATAATTAAAATGTTATAAGGGGTAGAGTTGAAGTGGATGAATTACAAAATTATTAAAGATTGTTCTATAAGTGAATTCATGTCAAAAATATTTTTTTATAAATGTCAAGCGTTGTCTAAAAATTTTAAAAATTAGGAGTACGATTACGATAAGAATGAAGATGTGAAGTGAAGTGGAAGGAATTCAAGTGGCAAAATAAAATAAAAACTAGAAAGAACATTACTATGACCAAGGTAAAGAAACGGGTTTGACAAAACGTTTTTGAACACATAATTTAGGTTTCTATTCATGTATAGCTAAAGCTTCGGCTATGCATGAGTGAAGAAAACGTAAACTTTTGGAGCGATTCGATTTCGCCATGTAGATAACTTTGAAAGATGAATCACGTCGGGCTAAATGGCCAGGATCTAACAGGTGATCACAAATAGACGACTTCGCAGTTCTACGTTTGCCTTTCACTAATCAGACTGGATAGTGTTCAGATACACGACTTCGGAGAGTACGCTTACAACGTCCAATCAGCTCCACAGAAGTAGGTTGTATAAATACAACTGTACAGCTTGAAAATGAAGTCGTTGAAAAGAAATTTCTTCGCTGAACAAAAAAGAAACTGTGTTTTTTACTTATGAAGCTTTGACGTTTGAAACAATGTGTGCTGGGTTCGAGTCCCAGTGGGGACACTATCCCTCATTCATTGGGGTATAACCACTAGCCCAGG